GCATGTGATTCACACAAAAACACTCGTGATCACTATATGGTAAGGTGATCAGTCCTGGACAGTAAAGAACCCAGATCCCTGTGTGCTCACTAATTCTGCAGACAGTATACTAGCCCTTGCACATAGTGCAGCTCAATCCAGTAGGAAACCAATATTAGAAATGCTTCCTTAGCTGCACAGAGTTATAGTTTAAAATAAAGTGCTTATAACCTGATCTTATGGAAGCTTAGAGAATTTTTTTTATTCTGACTGGGGTATTCACTTAAAGGAGTCCTATCCTGAGACATGCTAACATTGCGGATCTCCTTCTGAAAATACTAGCTGCCTGGCTGCTATACTGACCCCCTGATATAAATGCTTTCTGAGACACTGAACTGGACAAATATGCAAATAAGGAGTTATGACATCTCTAGCTTCCACGGCTTGTATGTTTGTTTCTGGTTAGTAATGCAGAAAGAAAGGACCAGGAACTGTATGCGCAGCGTAAGTGTAGGCCCTGCATGACTGAATTGGGTGGAAAGAATAGAGACAGATGTGATAATTGGTTAATTTAAAAGGGAATGGTAAGAGTTACCTTATTGGTGGTCGAGAGGGTGGGTCCGGGTGCGGTGGGGAGTGGCAGATGTGGCTTAGGGTCAGTGGGAGCTTGGTCTGAGGAGAAGGAACTTGCCCTCCCATTTTGCTGTTGTCATTGGTTCAGTGGTTCTCTTCATTTGGCATTTGGAGCTGTGGGGTCCTGGTGGGGAAGGTTTTTCCCCTGGGCCCGTTTTAGGGGTGTTGTGGGTTTTTTAGGTGGGGTTGGGTTTTTTGTTGTCATAGCAGGGGCAGGGGTCTCAGGATCGTGTAGGCCAGTATGGTAAAAAACAGTATGTGGAGTGTAATGAGTAGGGCCCATCTCGGTATGGGTATACCTTACCTATTGAAGTGACAGCAGTTGGGGCTATCGGTCAACGGGCTGTATCGGGTGTCAGCAGGGGCGGACTAACAACTCATGGGGCCCCCGGGCAATAGGAGATCATGGGGCCCCTGTGTCCTTGCCTGAACTCAAAAAAGCTTATGAAAAAAGTACCAGGGATATCTCATACTGACCCCAAGCCCTCGGGCAGTGCCCAAGTTTCCAAATGGTCAGTCCGCCCCTGGGTGTCAGAAGGGTCAACAATTTGTCCCTGAGCTGGTGTAACTGCAGCTAGGGGCTGGAATAGGAATGTGGTGCATGATGCAGCCGATTCAGTAGTAGAAAGGGGGCCTTCAGGAACCTGAGACAAAAAGGGTCAGAACGTATTTTATTGCTAAAAAGTTTGTTGTAAGAATTTGTTATGTTAATTTATGTTTTTTGTTAATAAAAGGGCTGCTATGGCCATTTGAAATCCAAGTTAAGTGTTTGGTGTCATTTTTTATTAAGGTGAAGGTTTATGGGTTATGATGAGGTTTCAGAGCAGCAGCAAGTCAGAAATACTTCAGTCATGCATTGTCACTCCACACAACCAGGCAAATACAATTTCAAGGAAGAGACTAGCAAAAGCAGCCCCTGTATTTATCTTGTGTAAGGTATCCTGATATTAATAATGACACTGTGCACATGGCTTAAAGTATTTAACTCATTGTCTCTGTGCTGTGGAAAGGCTCTAGACAAAGAGCAGCATATAAATCTGTGGGAAAGAAAAATGTTATCATCAAATGTGAGTCGCAGGTTCGGCAGCACAGTCATATTATGCTGTATATTGAGGCTTAGTAAGTGGTTCCTGTCTTGTTATCATTTGTCTCTCACCAGTTTCAGCTATCCATGTATTTTAATTTATTTGTTGAGTCATTACTACAGAATCTCCGCTTATAGTTTTTAGCATGTATTGATGAATTGTGATCTATGCAGTGGGGCAGACTTTACCATTGACTTTCAACTTGGTGTTCTTGATTGGTGACCTTTTTTTTTGTAAAGCACAGACTTGGGAGTGACAGAGCATTTATTTCTCCAAAACTCCTCGAAGGTTAATAGAATAGAACATATATCACTGCCTAGGTGCATAATGCATAAAGAAAGGGTGTACTCCACAGAAGTATACAGTGCTGCACAGTTTATCACTTTCTTTTCCTATGACAACCATTAGCTTTCTCATGTGATAGTTGCAAAAACTGCATCATCACCTACAGGGGTATCTGAAATGGTCTCGCAAACAAACTTCTCTGGTTTCATCTAAGACATAATGCTTGCATGTGCTCCACACATGTCAGTGTACACCAGCATTTCCTTTAACAGAGAACTATTTATTGAACCCAACCCCCTTCTGTGACGATCGCGCGTCAGACCCCTGACCTTCTCACCAAACTCGTGACCGAAGGACTAGCCAATCTGAAACCGCGATGTCACGTAACAATGCCACACCCAGCTGCACCCTGCGCAACGATTTTCCAGCTAATAGACCACCAATCGATGTACCGGCAGCCTGAATGCGATTGTTACTAGGTCAGGTTAATTACTCAATTAACCCTTCACACTGCCACCACATCCTTTTTGTACAGAGAAAGAGGAAACTCGGCAATATCAGCTATAACACTATAAGGGTTAAGATAATCATCTGTATAGCACCGTCACCGCAGACAGGTTATACAGAGGGTTAAACAAACACAGTAGCGCTCTTTTAGAGGCAGGAATTGGTAAGTTGCAATAAAGAGCTATGGAAACAGTTTAACACTTTCAGAAGGAAAGAATTATTACTAAAAGGTCAAAAGGGTGCAATAAAAATATTTACAGAAAAAAGCTGTAACCAATATATATATAAATATACAGAGAACAACAGCACAGCAAAGAGGTAACAGAAAGGAGGTTAAAGGGTTAAAGTACTTGCCAATCAGCCTTGGGTTTGCAGATCAAGTTTCAGAGCGAAAGGGCACGGTCTCCCAAGGTGGTTCTGATGTTAAAAGGGAAAATTCTTCAACTTCTCTTAGGCCTGACAGCCCATTTTGTATTCCCCCAGCAGGGAGGGAGAGTGTCTCTGAAGCCAAGGAACAATGCCTTATTTATGGAGGGATTGTCTGGGCAGAGACCCAAACTAGAACCAAAATTTCTCCTAACTCATATTTTGGCTCATAACTTTTCCTAGGCACAAGTACCATTCCACCCGCAGGTAGATTAATATGCAGACGCATCTGGGGAACGGTTAGATATGAAATGTGAAATACATACTCGAAGGGTTCAAGAGATGTGATTTTCTGCTTTCCTAGGTATTCCAGTCAGGGAGTGTGACCTATCAAACAATTTGTCTGATTGTTACCAATCCGAAGATATACCTTTTTTTTAAGTAAGTCTCTCATATTCCAAGATATGAGACATAGGGGGAAAATGGATTTTAAAAGTGTTATCTAGTTTCTTACTCATCTGGAATGTCTTTGAACTCAGGGGAAGGCTTGGGTTATCTTTTTATGATGTGCCAGATTGCACAGGTTCTTTAGACAGCGAGGCCCCAGCTCCTTGGGGGTGTTATAGCTCGGAGCTCCCTACTGTGTTTTGGCCTCCTGTAACACTTTCAACGCATGTCATGGTGTATGAACAGAGAGGAAGGGGGGATGATGGGACAACATGGAGAATGCTTAACAAAATGGTTGATCCGCGTCCATCTCTGTGGCATGATTGCTACACCTTCAACCGAGCTTGGTCACAAAGAGTAATGCCCCATACACACTATAAGAATATTGTACGAAAATTTTCGTACGAGGACTGATCGTCCGATAATCAGATCATTAGTACACAGCTTTCGAGAGTCGATCACGAGAATTTGTGCGACAATATCCAAAGAAACTAGCTCAAAAATTTTTCTCGTACGATACCAGATCATACGATTTTTGTTTAGTCAGTACAGTAGTCATCCGAAAATACAATACAAATACAATACAATACATGACATCACTTTCGAAATTCTTTTCTTTTATAGAATTTTCGTATCTTTAATAACTTTTTCACTTTCGATGTGAGGCTAGCAGACGAAAAAAAATGGGCGATCATTCATCCGATATTCTCATCGTGTGTACGGGGCATAAGTCCCAGGGTCTGACTACCTCCCCAGCCAACTTAATCACACATAAATGCTCTTCAGCTGGCATCAAATATAAAATATGATAGTACAGTTTCTTTTACATCTACCAACAGCTGTGCACTACCAGGACCTACTTGATTTGATATAAATTCAATGGATTGTTAACCCCTAATGCCACCTTTTTATATTTGCTTTAACTGCTTGACATCCAGAGGCTGTACCCCCCTTCCTGACCAGGCCATTCTTTGCGTTAAGGCGCTATGTTACTTTAACTGACAATTGCATGGTCATGCAACACTGTACCCTAATGAAATTTTACCATCCTTTTTTTCCCCACAAATAGACCTTTCTTTCAGTGGTATGTGATTGCCTCTATGTTTTTTATTTTTTTTGCGCTATAAAACAAAAAGAGACCAACAATTTTGAGAAAAAAAACAATATTTTTAACTTTTTGCTATAAAACATGTCCAATAAAAAAAATTAAAGAATCACATTTCATCATAAATTTAGAGAAAAATGTATTCTGCTAAATGTCTTTGCTAAAAAAAAATTCCAATACGTGTAAATTAATCGGTTTACGTGAAAGTTATAGAGTTTACAAATGGCGGTATAAATACTGGAATTTTTTTTTTCTTATTAGTAATGGTGGCGATCAGCGACTTATAGCGGGACTGCGGCTGGCATTCTGACACTGGGGAGACCTGACTTGGTGTCATTGACATCCCCATTGACACCAATACAGTGATCAGTGCTAATAAAAAGCACTGACACTGTGCTAATGGTTCTGGGCAGGAAGTGATTAACATCTGGGGCGATCAAAGGGTTAACTTTGTGCTGTATGTGTTTTTCTATGAAGCTCTGTCTGTGCTTTCCACAGTAAGCATACTGCTTTGTATGGCTCTACTATGCAAAGCCATACAAAGCAGTGTCCTGGAGCTGACAGCGGAGATAACTGGATTGTTTACATCAGGCCTTGAAATTTCCACTCGCCTGCTCGCCAATGGTGAGTGGAAATTATGGTGGGGACGAGTGTGTTCCCCAGGGCTGTTTTGCGAAGCAGGCTCGGAGCTCAGGCCGGATCTGTCAGTGGCACTGGGAGCTGTCAGACTGCTCAATAGCTGAGCGCAGTGAAAGCAAAGGAAGGAGTGTGTGCTGTACTCTCTGCCTCCTTCTAGAGTGCAGTACCCGGCTCTGTAAGTGAACAACAAAGTACTGCAACATTTTATAGGGCTGTGTGTGTGTGTGTGCCTAATTTCAGCTCACTTTGGTCACATGATTCTCTGATGGGGAGAGAGAGAGAGCACTCAACAGCGTGCGTGCGTGTGTGTGTACATGTGTGTGTGTTTGTGCGTGTCTGTGTATGCATGTACATGTGTCTGTGTGTATCTGTACATGTGTCTGTGTGTGTATGTACGTGTGTGTATGTACGTACATGTGTCTGTGTGTACATGTGTCTGTGTGTGTGTATTTCTGTGCATGTACATGTATCTGTGTGTATGCGTGTCTGTACGTGCCTGTGTGTATATACATGTGTCTGTATGTGTGTGTGTGTGTACATGTGTCTCTGTGCGTGTGTGTGTACATGTTTCTGTGCGTGTATGTGTATGTACATGTCTGTGTGTGTGTGTACAGGTGTCTCTATTTGTGTGTGTTTGTTAGTGGTGAGTAACTCTTAAGGCCTGGCTAGTAGCTCAGGACTTGAAATTTTAAGCCATGGTTTACATACAGTTCTCTTCCCCGTCGGTAATACTCGGCATACACTGGCTGATTGACAGCCGAGGCCGCAAATGGTGGTGCGTGCCCCCTACCCGGTAATGCAAAATCGCATATATATACGTAATTTTGCGCACCCCTGCTGCCCTGTAGCAGTATTTCTGCTATAGGGGGCAGGGGGAAAGCGGTTAATGTTCAGGAAGAGGAGCAGCTCCTGTATCAAGTTACCACTGTGATTAGCTGTCACAACAGTCACTTGATTGGGAGCCAGTGAGACCAAGAGCCATCGGTGACCACACAGTCACTGCTGCCTGAGGAAGAGGCCCCTAGTGGCATAAAAATGTCACTTCTTTCCGTTGGTGACATTAAAGCAGCCTTTCTCAGCCCTTTCAACACAGAGGGCACCCTTGCAATAACTTTCCAGTATCAGGGAACCCTTGCTAAAAATTACTACTATATCTAGCACTCATGATACATTAGTGTGATGGTCCATGGGAAGAATGTTCCTTACACATGTGGAAAGAATTACCACCTTACAGATAGCTAAAAAGATCAGTGGTTTCAGTGGGAACTTATCTGAGAGGCAGAAATTGGTCATTGCTCACGGAACCCTTAGCAACCTCTGGAGGAACCCTAGTTGAGAAAGCCTGCATAAAAGTGCCCTGCTTGTTATTTAACTATGGTGTGATGGTGATATCTTGGATTGGACCTAAGCTTTGGTAGCACCATCCACCATTTCACCACAGCATCCTTCTATGGCTGGGTCTTATTGCTGCATGGAGTGCACAGGGCTCTTTTGTAATAAGGGAGTGCACAGTAAATGAACGCTCAGCACATAACCACAGGGGCACCGTTGACGCATATGAGTGGCAGCTGGGCGTTAATGTTCACTTTTCTTGCCGACACATATGCATGTGCATAGTTGGCAAAAGCGATTAAGGAAGGCTCCCTTACTACATAGTTATTAGCAAATCTAACAAAAATTGCACAGAGATTACACAATCAGATTGTACCATATACGGAAGGCTCTAAGAGATACCTTAATAAAAAAACCTTTTTAATAAAAAAAAAAAAAAATTACATAGAATACTTATGAAAAACAGAACTCAGAAAATGTTATTAATTTTAATGTTAACTCCCTAATAAAATACTATAAACGCTTATTAGACTTGCTACACACAATTCAAAACAATGGCAGATATTAAGGCAAGCAGTGTAGAACAATGTTCAACCCCTAAAGCAAGACAATGGATGGTTATCTAGTGTTATGACAGCACAATTTGGAACTGTAGACTGGGCAGGAATATATATCCAGCTCAGACACAAGGAGCTGCCTACTAGTCAAGTTTAAAGTTCTACATTTAACCCAAGAATATTTTATGTGCAGTGTACAGAAAAGCCTTGCCTCACAACACATCATTTTCATTGCCATAACATTACTAGAACATTACAGGCCATCTGCCCCTTGCAAGGTTAGGAAGGCCATAAATCTGGAAATGCAGCAATTCTGAAGTCTTTTTTTTTTTTTTCCTTGCTGTGATTTCAGTGTGCGTGCCTAAAGGTGAAATCAAATTTTGAGCTCCAAAAACAGAAATGGGAGGCTAGGCACTGGGAAAGAAATTGATTTAGGCTCAGTTAGCTGGAAATGTGTTGCGGTCAAAAACTCATTTTTAGAATCATCTATTGAGTGTTTTCTGCAAATACAGCAAAAAATAAAGAGCATTTAACCGACAATCTTAACTCCTAGGTGACTGGGTGGACGTTTTGTCCAATATGGAGTGTGTATCTGGTCCTGAAAGGGGTAGGGGGTAAATACAAAAGCTGTGAAATGATAGTTGTAGATCAGTAATCTTGTAAACCTCTCTATGACGAACTCTCCTGCCAGTGCAGTAAGTGTGATAACAGTGTGTCTGACCACATGTGAGTTAGAAGTGGTATTCCTTTGGAAAAGGGGTTACGTGTCAAGTCTCTGCATCAGCTCTGTGTTTTCCTCGCATGAATAACGATCTGTTCTTTTTTATGCATTGTTAAATCTTTAAGTAAATTGTGTCTTTTATCCTCAACACTGAATTGAAAATCCTTCAGCCATGAAAGTTAGTTATGTACCACACGTGTGCCGGGAGTTCTCTTCCTCTAAATGATTCAAGTGCAAACATGAGTCTAGCAGAGAACATATACAGCATATAGGTTAAAAAAGGATCGATGCTCAGTATACAGCCTTAATAAATAAAAAACCATTTATAAAGGCTTTTATAAATGGGTTTATTTGAATGTCATTTCTGCATGCCCCTATTTTCCACTTTTGAATGTCAAAAAGGTCAGAAAAGGTATTTATTAAAACACAGTACCAGACAAAGACCTTATATATCCTTAAGAAAATAATGTAAACCTTTTTTTTACACAGACAAATTAATTAAGTTAGAGTTATTGCCAAGTTAACTGATGCACACTGATAAATACGGTCTGGTTATTCATTATCTCTGGTCATGAAATAGTAAAGGCCAAATTCAACAATGCACATTAATGGTCCAATTCATTCTTTGATGGAATGTGGTAGACAAAAGCAGACAAGGGCACACTCTCATCGTGCATTACCGTGGTACACCACGTATTTATTGTGTAAAAAAATAGATATATACTCACAAACAAAAAGGAAATAAAAGCAGGATAAGTGGTCCGCAATAACAGTCAATGCAATACTGTGTCCTTAATAGGGATAAGCTGACGCATTTCGGGAGACAAACCCCCTTCATCAGAGCTGAAAAGTATGCCTGCTGGTCCCAACAGGCATACTTTTCAGCTCTGAGGAAGGGGGTTTGTCTCTCGAAATGCGTCAGCTTATCCCTATTAAGGGCACAGTATTGCATTAACTGCTATTGTGGACCACTTATCCTGCTTTTATTTCCTTTTTGTTTGTGAGTATATATCTATTTTTTTACACAATAAATACGTGGTGTACCACGGTAATGCACGATGAGAGTGCACCTTTGTCTGCTTTTGTCTACCAGTGTCCAGATTTCCCGATCTTTGAAGGGCAGCACCTCTTCGTTTGGCATTCCGAATATCCTTTGGTCTGCATGAGGACTTGAGCGCTGGTTTCATTTTGTTTGTCTTTGATGGAATGTGTTGAAGGTAGGCGAAGCTAGGTACACGTTCAGCAGGTACCCTTTGAGCGAAGATGGGAGAAATGGTGACAATAGGACTTGGTCTTGGGGGGGTAAAAATATCTGAGCTGTTTCAAACTTGTGCAGTTTTAATTGTGAGTATTGTCTGTCTACTGTACTTTAATAAAACAATCCTAAGGTGGCACTAAACTATTGACAAATCTTTTGTGTATGGCATTGTGAGTGGAAATTCAGTGATGGAATGGTGGAAAGTATTTTTGATATTATTGCCTTCCTGTCCCCTTCCAATGGCTCTTTAATTGGGTCTAAACTCCAGGAGGTAGGGTGGACTTCCCAATCATGTGATCACTTTGATTTGCTGTCACAGTGGTCACATAATAGGGAGCCTGTCTCATCAGCTCCTAATCATAAAAAGAGAATGGAATCTGTCTGTGACAGCTTGATCACATTTCTGAGAGTGCGCAGTGAGCGTGCTCTCAGCATATATACCTCAGGAATGCATACGGCTCCATGCTCACCAGGAGCTTTAAAAAATAATGGAAAAACGCTGGATAAAAATCACTCGGAACTTTCGGTTCCGGTGCCGATGCTGTAGGTCGCGGGATCCGCGGCTCACGGGATCCTGGCCTGTAAATACAGCATCCTGCATCGGAGACTCCCGCAGACCAGCTCGGGAGGTCCCCCTCTGACCCTTGCATTAACCCTCCGCCATGGAGAAGTATCTATTGCCAGAGACCGACCAGCTCAGACCCCGCTCTCCCTCTCCTGCAGCCAAGATGGCCACCGATACATGCTGCAGCATGGACACAGGAGTCGATACAGGGAAGAACACTGGCTGAGGTATGCATGAATGCATTGAAACACCATTGCCAGCCCTAAGCATCCCTTCTGGCACTTGTAGTCCCACAGATTTTTATGAAAAGATTGCACAGGCAGTCGCCTCTATTTTGTTGCCTACTACTACACAGGCTGTAGATAATGCAGTTGCTACAGGAATTGATCAGCTTAGAAAAGATTTGGGTGACCAATCCAAACATTTATCTGAGGTGGAAAAAGGTAGATGTGAGCGCACAAATCACTTTAAAAGTGAAAGCAGCCAAGCACAAGGTAACCAAAATAACTGTGAAATGAAATATAAAAGTGATGTGCGGCTCTAAAAAAGATATGAATGTATAAAAATAACGCATAATGATAAAATAAGATCAAGTATCACTGATCATAATAAATCATAAATAAGTTCATAAGTTTTTTCTACGGATGCTCAACATGACTGATGACACCCATATGCTGGTAACAAGGGGCATTCCCTGTTATGTTGATATATCATTGTATTCAGATATATATGTACATATACTGTATGCTCTCAGCATCAAAGACCGAATGTCATCGTTTCCCATAGGTATACACTACTAATGGTGATTGGTGACTGAGTAATGGTGACTACTAATTTGTTGTTAATGAGGAATTTCTAATTATCAACCGGATTCTTCATTGCCTTTATACATCCATTACATCTCAGAATTTAGCACACATACTTTCGGCATCTCGAATTGGTATGTGAGTTTGCTTTTGAAAATACCTATAGAAAATGGCACCCGCTTAGCCGCGTCTGCGCACTTGATTTGGTCTACTCCAAGATGGCGCATATTCAATTGAGCATGCGCCATCGTGGACATAAATAGACTGCGCGCGGCTAGGCGTTACTGACACTCCCCTCAGACGATGTGCAGGTGCACGAAACGTGTAAGCAGGAGCCAGTAATGCCACAACGTCATGCCGCCGGAGCAACGTGGAGCTCCAGCGGCCATCTTTTAAACTTGGATGGTTAGTCCTCATTGCTCTTCATGCCATGCATTTCATTGCGGATGTGTTTTAACCAAGATTTTTGCAATAAATTACTTTTAAGTTACTACACTATGGGCATCTTTTTGCTTTGACTCCCTGAGGGAGTTTTTGATTTCACAGCGATCCTAACCTCCAGAGAGGGAGCCTCCATTAGACCTAGAGGACTACACCCACCCATCCCATTTAAGGGAACTCTGGAGTATCCTGATAACAACCAGCTTAAACCTTAGGATCCATCCACCCACAGAGGAGAAGCACCAGATCCCTGCCATCACCCCATGATGACTATTTGATGACATCAGGATATAATTTTAGGCCGCCAGGGGCGGACTGACCGTTTGGAAACACGGGCACTGCTCGAGAGCCTGGCGTCAGTAGGGGGCCCCATGAGATGCCCTGGTACCTTTTTCATAGGCTTTTTTGAGTTTGGGCAAGGATCCCCTATTGCCCAGGAGCCTCATGAGTTGTCAGTCCGCCCCTGATTATAACACGCATTTACTTGTGCTTTCTGGTGAGTGCACATTGCTTATACACCTATATTCACCTTCTCCAGGAAGACACAGGATTAATGAGCACCTTGGTCACCAGATGAACTTATTTATGATTTGTTATGATCAGAGATACTTGATCTAATTTTATAATTATACGTTACTTTAATACATTCATATCTTTCTTAGCGCCGCACATCACTTTTATGCTTATCTGAGGTGGAGCAACGTCTTTCAGAGTTAGAAGATGAGGTTCAATCGTTGCAAGCGGGCGCACTTCAAACCAATCGTATGCATCAAAGCATTTTGGACAAATTGGATGACTTAGAAAACTGCTCACGAAGAAATAATTTGCGTATTGTAGGCCTTCCAGAATCTTGTACCTCAGGGACACTTCCGGAACTATGTTCAGTGCGTATTCCCGCAGCCCTGGGACTAGCCACTTCCTGCCAGGTAAAGAGAGCTCATCTCCTAGGGTCACCCTCTAATGAACAGCGCACACCGCGCTCAGTGATTGTCAAATGCCTTAATTATGCTGACTGCGTAGCCATCCTCAACTCTTTTCACAATTCTCGCTCCTTGCAGATAGAGGGACCCAAATTGCCCTTATTCGCTGCCTACTCGCAGGAAGTCTCACGTAAGCAAAAGGCATTCCAGCAAACATGCACCACGCTTTACCAACGAGGACTTAAATTTACCCTGGCATACCCCGTTACTCTTAGATTCTATACACCCTCTGGCAATATCTACAAGATACCCTGACGGACACTAACGACATATCGTCTCCAAACCATCCTGCCCGTACATCCAGCCCCAGAGATCAACGCAGCCCCTGCAAAGATCCTCCTAAGCGGCAACGCATTACCTTTTCTTATTCGAAAACCCATCTGCCTTGACACGGCCTACATCTAATAATTCATCGGGATTACCTCCTCCTCTCTCATCACCTAATCTGATCATCATTCTATCAGATCTCCAGACCTAAGAACTCACCTTAAGGGATGCTTACGGTCACTAATACAAGATGTTAGTGACAAAAATTACACGCGGTTTTGAGTTGAACCAGTTGCTTTGCCTAGCAGAGTATGTATACATTTGTTTGTCCTGTTAACATATGTGCCTTGCTCTGACCAAAGGTGCCATTTTGGCTATTGGGATTGCTCAGCTCTTCCCTGCTTGGTCTTTACTATGGCTGGGGGGATCTCTTCTCAGCAAATCTAACATGTCCCTTGATGCAGGTTCTTTTCCCTTGTTATTCCTGGTCACGCTGGTCGTAGTATAGGGACAGCATGCACGTTTATGTGAAGTCCAGTATATTGCTACATTTTACTGTTTATTTTGATCTACAGATAGGCCCCTGTTGGGTCATTGCTCTCTACTCTTCTTTCCTTCTTTTCTGTCCTCTTTCCTTACTTTTTTCCGGAGACTACCCCCTTCCCCAGAAGCCAAGACCACTACGCACAAGATTGGACAGTAATGTGAAGCTGGACGACTCCATTTCACAGAACTGTAAGTCTTTCACTATTATTTACACCACACCACTTTCAACACAATGACACACATTTTGTCATGGAGTGTCAAGGGCTTCAGATCACCTCACAAACGCATGGCTATCCTTCACCATCTTCGGCAGCTTAAGGCAGATGTAGTGTTACTCCAAGAAACTCATCTGACTCAATCTGATTTCATCCGTATGAAGAAACTTTGGGTGTGACAAGTCTTAGGCTCCCCCTCACTGAATAACAAGGCAGGAGTGCTCATTCTTATACACAAACGGCTTACCCCTGAAATTGTTTCTATAGACTCAGACGAAGCGAAAAGATTCATAGCAGCTCATATTCGGATGGGCTCCCAATCCCTGGTCCTCACTAGTATTTATGCCCCAAATTTACCATCTAAACAAGTCTTCCAGGGAAGGCGGTCTTACTTGGTAAAATCATTGCATTTACATCTGCTTACAAGAAAAAACTCACCTACAAACTCACCGAAGCTAGTAATCGCCTTAGACAGACTCAGAAAATTTTAGCGGACTCTAATACACACGAACGCGGAAAAGCTTGGACGGATGCTAAGCATCAATTCGATACATGGGCGGCGGCCCAGGAATCTATACATCAATCCTACCTTGACCTACATTACCATAAATTTGGAAATAATCCAGGTAAACTGTTGGTTCGCCTGTGCCGAAAGCCCTTTACCCCTACACAATTTACCTCTTTGAAAGACTCACAGGGTACATTAAAACACTCCCCGGAGGAAGTCATAACTATTTTGGAAAATTTGTTTGCAAATTTGTATGGCCCTGATCCCATCAACCAATCACAAGCCACCTCTTTTCTGGCCAATGTCACTCTCCCTCAAATAGATCTCATAGCACTCCAATCCTTAAACGTCTCTATATCACAGTTGGATATTCATATGGCCATAAAATCTTTAGCAAATGGTAAAGCTCCTGGCCCTGACGGATACACTTCAGAATTTTATAATGTCCAAAACCCTCTCCCCAACTCTACAATCGGTTTTTCAATCAATACAGGAGGGAGGGACGTATCTCCCATCAGCGTTCCAAGCCCATATCAAATTAATAGCAAAAAAAGACAAAGACCCCTCTGATCTGGGCTCATATTGGCTGATATCCCTTTTAAATTTAGATACAAAAATTCTTTCTAAAATTATTGCAAACCGCTTAGCCACTATTCTGCCTTCCCTTATTTGCCCTTCGCAAGCGGGCTTCATACAGGGTCGTTCTGCCGTATCGAACATACGCAAAGTTTTAACAGTTCTACATCACGCAAAGGTTAACCCACTTCAAGATCTAGCGATTATCTCTCTCGATGCTGAAAAATCTTTTGACAATGTCAGTTTTCAGTGGCTTCAGTTAGTTTTACACAAATTCGGCTTTTCAGGTCCTTTTACGCATCTAATCCAAGCTATGTATTCAGCACCCACGGCACAGTTAATAGCGGCAGGTCTAACTTCTAATCCCATAAAACTTCATACAGGAACAAGGCAGGGATGCCATTTATCCCCCTTGCTTTTCAATTTAGCTTTGGAGCCGTGGAGTCCACATTGCGCAACAAGAGCTGCGTTTAGCGCTGTTCACTGATGGCATATTAATATTTACATCCAATCCAACTCTAGACTTGCCATACAGGTGAAACTCGAAAAATTAGAATATCGTGCAAAAGTTCATTTATTTCAGTAATGCAACTTAAAAGGTGAAACTAATATATGAGATAGACTCATTACATGCAAAGCAAGATAGTTCAAGCCGTGATTTGTCATAATTGTGATGATTATGGCTTACAGCTCATGAAAACTCCAAATCCACAATCTCGGAAAATTAGAATATTGTGAAAAGGCGCAATATTCTCGGCTCAAAGTGTCCCACTCTAATCAGCTAATTAAGCCATAACACCTGCAAAGGGTTCCTGAGCCTTTAAATGGTCTCTCAGTCTGGTTCAGTAGGAATCACACAATCATGGGAAAGACTGCTGACCGGATAGTTGTGCAGAAAACCATCATTGACACCCTCCATAAGGAGGGAAAGCCTCAACAGGTAATTGCAAAAGAAGTTGGATGTTCCCAAAGTGCTGTATCAAAGCACATTAATAGAAGGTTATGTGGAAGGGAAAAGTGTGGAATAAAAAGGTCCACAAGCAGCAGGGATGACCGCAGCCTGGAGAGGATTGTCAGGAAAAGGCCATTCAAAAGTGTTGGGGACTTTCACAAGGAGTGGGCTGAGGCTGGAGTCAGTGCATCAAGAGCCACCACACAGAGGGATCTTGTCAAGCCACTCCTGAACAACAAACAACGTCAGAAGCATCTTACCTGGGCTAAAGAAAAACAGACCTGGTCTGTTGCTCAGTTGTCCAAAGTCCTCTTTTCTGATGAGAGCAACTTTTGCATCTCATTTGGAAACCAAGGACCCAGAGTATGGAGGAAGAATGGAGAGGCACACACTGCAAGATGCTTGAAGTCCAGTGTGAAGTTTCCACAGTCTGTGTTGATTTGGGGAGCCATGTCATCTGCTGGTGTTGGTCCACTGTGCTTCATTAAATCCACGGTCAACGCAGCCGTCTACCAGGAGATTTTTGGAGCACTTCATGCTTCCTTCCACAGATGAGCTTTATGGGGATGCGGACTTCATTTTCCAGCAGGGCTTTGCACCTGCCCACACTGCCAAAAGCACCAAAACCTGGTTCAATGACCCTGGGATTACTGTGCTTGATTGGCCAGCAAACTTGCCAGACCTGAACCCCATAGAGAATCTATGGGGCATTGCCAAGAGAAAGATAAGAGACATGAGACCGAACAATGCAGAAGAGCTGAAGACCGCTATTGAAGCATCCTGGTCTTCCATAACACCTCAGCAGTGCCACAGGCTGATAGCTTCCATGCCACGCCGCATTGAGGCAGTAATTGTTGCAAAAGGGCCCAAACCAAGTACTGAGTACATATGCATGCTTATACTTTTCAGAGGTCCGATATTGTTCTATGTATAATCCTTGTTTTATTGATTGCATGCAATATTTTAATTTTCTGAGATTGTGGATTTGGGGTTTTCATGAGCTGTAAGCCATAATCATTACAATTATGACAAATCACAGCTTGAACTGTCTTGCTTTGCATGTAATGAGTTTATCTCATATATTAGTTTCACCTTTTAAGTTGCATTACTGAAATAAATGAACTTTTGCACGATATTCTAATTTTTTGAGTTTCACCTGTATATACACACCACTTTCTTGGCCTTCAGACAATGCTCGGGTCTTTGAATCAATTTCACGAAAAGCAAAGTCCTTCCATTGTATCATGCACACACTCCTACGTGGGCTCAAAATTCGCTCTTCAAAAGAATGTCAAGCTATATTACATATCTAGGTATTAAAATAGGGAAACTTGCCTCGTCTCTTTACTCGCTGAACTTTTTGCCAGCAAATAAAAAAAATCACAGGAGAATTGGAGATGTGGAAAGAAAGACCTGCCGCTATCACTCATGGGAAGGGCCCACCTCTTTAAG